GAAAGGACTTTTCCTACATTTCGGTCCTTTCTGACGATTCTGACTTTTCTAGCCGGGTCACCCTTATTTGGTTAGCCATGTCACATGGCACGTGACTTAGCCGGATAACAATGTCTATAGAATACAAAATAAAAAAATTTTACAGTTTAATTTGATTGTTTTCGTGATATTGCTTGTGCCATTTTAGATGCTAGAAAAATCCAAGGACGGCATATGCATTAGAGTTCTGTAAAATGTGGAATACTGGGATGTCAAATGTAAATCTAATTACATAGTGCAGGTTTTTATAATTAGCTGCAGTGTAAATATGTACGTAGTAAAATTTAAATTGCAATAACTCTTGAACAAGCAACAGTGATTTCATTGGTAAAAATTTGAGTAATGCCTAAATTTTTTCGTTGGTTCATCCGCGCTGCAATTGATTGTACGTGATACATAGCAATTTCTCAACAACCATACATCAATATGCAACTACTTATTATAGTTTACCAATTTTAATACGTACAATTGTGATAAATATGTATTAAATGGTTATAATTTTTATTTACGTACTACATACGTATTTATTACAGACACTACCAAAAACTGTACGCATGAATGCTCACAATTGTATTAAAATTGTTAAATTACTTAACAATTTTTTATACAAAAACTTTTTATTGGGTTAATGCGTGCACCTGAATATATTTATAAAGAGTCAATACTTAGTCTTATTGAGAAAGTCTTCTGTAAATATATTTTATAGCAATGAAGTACCAAACTTTGAATCTTTTTCTGATCACTCTTTCAAGTTTGCTGATATTGGCTATTGTTGATGCCAATAATCATAAACTCAAAACTTGCACAGTTTCTCCTAAGGATGAACATAAAACTTGCACATTTACACAAACCAGCTCTGAAACAGTGACTATATTAACCTGTATTGAGACACCCTCTTATGAAACTCGAGACAATCGCATTAGTCGTCACCATAATAATGATCGAAAGGATAAGGAGGATAAGGATAATAGTGATTGCAAAGAAACAATAACTGTCACTTTTACGCCTACAATTACTTTGTGCTCTACACCAACACCAA